TCTATCTATCTATCTATCTATCTATCTATCTATCTATCTATCTATCTATCTTTTGGCAGTACCTGGAACTGAGCCTATGAAGTGCCTCCCAAAGACTGGGCAACTCCCCTTGTGCTGTATCCGTGGACATCTTTTCAACTTTTTGAGACAGGGTCATGCTGACAACCTGTGATCCTGCTGCCTCAGCTTCCCAAGTAGCTAAGCCTAAAAGCCTGTCCCAATAGGCCCAGATGTTTTCAGAATTTTTCGTTGGCAGTTCACCGTTGTTCAAATATTTTTCATGTATGGAAACCCCACATGGAAGATTTCTATTCCTCTTATTTGACACCCTGTTTCAATGGCTTCTGTGCTTGTTCTCACATCCATACATGAGGGCAAAGCACTCATACACATACAATGAAATTAAAAATCTAAAATAAATGAATGTGTATGTGTGTGTGTGTATGTCTGTGTGTGCATACCAAAGAACCAAATTTTAAAAAGTCAGGTATGATGTCACACACCCGTCAAACCAATATTTGTGAGATGGAGGCAGGAGGAGCAAAAGTTGAAGGCGAGTTTGGGCCTTCAAAGATTTACCATCACTTGATATCCGGTTTACGAATTGTTCTGGGGGCTATGAGGTAGAGCCCAGTGGCTGCTTGTGTGCTTGGCATGCACAAGGCCAAGGATTTAAACCTTAGTATCAGAAAATAAGTAGAAAATGTCTTTTTAATTAAAAAAAAAAAAAACTTAGGTGTAACATGTGTGTGCCTATGGGAAGCCAAAGAGGGCATTAGTCTCTTGGAGCTGGAGCTACAGGTGGTTGTGAGCCACCTGCTGTGGATGCTGGGAAATGAACTCAGGTTCTCTAGAAGAACAGTACCTGCTCTTAACTGAGGCAGCTCTTTGACCCCTTATTTTCTTAGAATTAAATATTTTGCTGTTGTCTCTGACATGAACTGATTGGCCTGCTCTTTGATCACCTGCCCCTGAAGGGGGAGCAGCATTACCAGGCCACAGAAGAAGACACTGCAGCCATTCCTGATGAGACCTAACAGACTAGGATCAGAAGGAAGGAAAAGAAGACCTCCCCTACCAGTGGACTTGGGGAGGGGCATGTGTGGGGGAGGAAGAGGAAGGGAAGGTTTGGGAGGGGAGGAGGGAGGGAACTACAGGGGGGGATACAAAGTAAATAAAGTGTAATTAATTAGAGGACCTCTGAAAAGCTCTGCCCTGCAGACTATCAATGTAGATGCTGAGACTTATGGCCAATCTTTGGGCAGAGTGCAGGGAATCTTATGAAAGAAGTGGGAAAAAGTAAGATCTGGAGAGGACAGGAACTCCACAAGGAGAGCAACAGAACCAAAAAATCTGAGCACAGGGGGTCTTTCCTGAGACTGATACTCCAACCAAGGACTATGCATGGAGATAACCTAGGACCCCTGCACAGATGTAGCCCATGGCAGTTCAGGGTCCAAGTGGGTTCCATAGTAATAGGAACAGGGACTGTCTCTGACATGAACTGATTGTCCTGCTCTTTGATCACCTCCCCCTGAGGGGGGAGCAGCCTTTCCAGGCCACAGAAGAAGACAATGCAGCCACTCCTGATGAGACCTAATTGACTAGGATCAGAAGGAAGGAAAAGAAGACCTCCCTTATCAGTGGACTTGGGGCAGGGCATGCGTACAGAGTGGGGAGGAAAGGAGAGATTGGAGCGGGAGGAGGGAGGGAACCACAGGGGGGGATCCAAAGTGAATAAAGTGTAATTAATAAAGAATTTTAAAAAATTAAAAAATATTTTGCTATATGTTAAACTTACAGCTAAGGTGAATCTCCTTAAATGTTATAATTATATCCTATTTATTATCATTCTAAGATCTCTGAAGTACAGGATTATAAGATGTATACCACCACACATGTCCCAATTTAAGATTCTCACAGCTGCATTTCTCTTTTTGAACTTAAATTATTTTCACTCAATATATGTTGACCCTATTCTTTCCTCTCCCAGGTACAATTCTTTGATATAAACATTTGTTTTCTTCACTGGCTATAGTGATGCAGAACTTATTCTTTCCAGCACTCAAGAGGCAGAGGCAGGCAGACCTCTGTAAGTCTGAGGATAGCTGCTCCCCACATGGCTTTCCAGGCCAGCCAGGGCTGCATAATGAGTGTTTGTCTCAAAATAAAAACAAACAAGACCTTTCATGACCTGTGTTTATCTGATTTTGTTCTCAAAATTAGTGGCTTCAGAAAATGGACATGACCTTTTTGTATCCCCTCACCTTCTTTTGTTACTTATTTATAGTATCTGTCATTTATAATCTTTATTATTGTTTATGTTTTTGCAACACTTGAATATTAAGCTGTAGGCATAGCCCAGTAAAAGAAGTGTGTGTTTAGCATGGAAAAGCCCTGGATTTGATCCTCAGCATTTAAAGAAGAAAAAAAAAATAGATCTTACCATATGTGTTTGTGTACAAATATAATCCTAGGACTGGAAGCAAAGGCAGAAAGATCACAAACTTGAAGCCAACCTGGGATATATATAAGATTACTTCAACAATTAATAAAACAAAATAAACACATAATAAATCTCTAAATTCCGCAACACTTAGCTGTATTAAAATATGCGGATGTACATGGGTTTGTGCAAACATTTGCCACTTCGCATGTGTGTATATATGTGAGGACGCACACATGTGCACATACATGCAGAGGATAGAGGACCCTTCCTTAGGTGTCGACCTTGCTTTGGCCTGGAGCTCGCTAAGCAGGCTGGCTGGCTGATTGGCTAGGGAACCCCAAGAATCTGAATATACCACCGTGTCTGGCTTCTTCTTTTTCAGGCTGGTTCAAGGGATTGAACTCAGGCCCTCATGCTTGCAAGGCAAATGCTTTGTCAACTGCGCTGTCTCCCCAGCCCTACCTACCACTCTATATCGGAGCGGTGGTGGGTGGGGGAGTTGAGCATATGAAAACATTTATATCTGAGGTTTCTGGAACCAGCCCCTTCAAGTACACAAAAGGCTTCGACTCCCCAGCTGCACTCCCCAGCTTGGCACGCTGTCACATCTGCTCACACTCCTCACTGCGGCCTACCCTCACTGCCGGGATTTACTATGCCTGCATCCAAGCTAAGGGCACACTTGGAAAAAAGGAAGGAAGGAAGGAAGGAAGGAAGGAAGGAAGGAAGGAAGGAAGGAAGAAAGAAAGAAAGAAAGAAAGAAAGAAAGAAAGAAAGAAAGAAAG